CACACACACACACACACACACACACACACACACACACACACAGCCTGCTCCGCAAAACCACGAGCCAGGCACGGATCCGAATATTCGGGCATATATCTTACACCGTCCAGGTCACTTCAGTGCTTTTACCTCTGCAGATAATTCCTGGACCCTATGGGACAATGGCAGTAGGGTGTGCACAGTGGGAAATATTAACTCTTTCTATCGCCAAATGCTGGAGGGTCACTCAGTCTGGCTCATCCATCAGGAACATTATGTCGATGAGCATTTGCAAGCACTGCACCCCCCGGAGAGCAATCCTGCTGATTCTACCACAAACAGTGAAAGGACCTCTCCACAGGATGATGGTTGTGCCCTCCCGTTGTGTCATTGCACAGGTACAGTTCAGTTGGCATGTACACGACATAGCCTCTGCTCCGAACACTATGAAGGGATGGTTGCTGCTAGCCTCTCACACGAAAATTGTGATCCCCAGTCCTGTGCTCATCCCCCCCAGCCCCTGATTACTTGCCCAGCATGCCGTTGTGGCCTTGACCTGCCATGCTTAAACCGCCAGTACTTCCTGAAGTCGTGCCCGTTAACGCTACGCGATAGGAAACGTACGGGCCACTACAGGAGCGCCCAAATTCATCCAACTAGAAACGTTTCTACTCTATTTTTTCCCGTGGCCGATAGCTGGGCCAAGTACTGGTGGTTTAAATAACTGTGCACGTTAGCCTTCCATACAAATGACATGTCAGCAACATGCCGTGTGTCATCAATGCTTCCAGGAAGCTGTCATAGAAAGTATGTGTCTTTACTGCGTGGACTATCCCCGGTGCCATCACCCTCCACATCCTCTCCTAGCATATTCCACATGCGGTATTGGTCATACACCTACGGCAACCGCTGACGGATCTCCCTCTTTCATGCCAGACGAACGACGAACACAGCAGACCGAGGAGGAAAATAGACTTCTATATGAACCACCGGATCTCCCTTGCATTGGACCGATCCTCCCTGTTCATATCTTGTCTATCATGAGCACATCGCTCTGCCGGTGGTTCATATAGAAGTCTATCTTCCTCCTCGAACTGCTGTGTCCATCATTCGTTTGGCAAGAAAGAGGGAGATCCGTCAGCGGTTGCCGTAGGTGTATGACCAACACTGCATGTGAGACATGCTAGGAGAGGATGTGGAGGGTGATGGCACCGGGATAGTCCACGCAGTAAGTCTACATACTTCCTATGAGGGCGAGCTGTTGCGGATCAAATCCTGCAGCAGCTGGACGCCCTTGTGTTGGACTGATCCTCCCTGTCGTAATCTGCCCATAGAGAAGGAATAAATGCTGAGGAAGCCCAAGAAAGATGCTCCATGCCGCTCTGTGATGACCCGTAGGAGATTCAACTAGCATGTGGTTCGCATGCCTTGGGCCATGAGGATTATGAAGGGATAGTCCATGCAAGTTTTTGCTTCCATACGTACGATGACAGTCATGTCATGTCCAATTTGCAGGCAGGGGCTGGAACGACAATGTTTCTATAATTGCGGTCGACATGCCTCTGTGTTCCTAGCATGTATGAGCGATGTAGCCTGTGACACACACACACACACACAAACACACCCGCCCACCCACCACACACTGCGTCACGCTCCTCCCCAGTCTGGCACAGTCACGCTTTTTCTAATGTATAGCGAATATGACAGCACGCACACATGCAGACACACACACACACACACACACACACACACACACACACACATACCTACTCTCACTCATATAACCCCCCAACGCACACAGGTCTACACACAGACATACATACACCCACACTTATACAAAAGATCCCCCACATATATACACACACTATCTCCACACACACACACACAAACACACATTGCACAAATGCATACACACATATTTATAGGGTATAGTATATACACACACATATGCATATATATATGTCCATAGATGAACATGCATACACAACTTCGCGCGCACACACACACACATACACGCAGACATATATACACACACATGCATAAACATTTTCCATTTATATAGATGTGTAGATATATAATATATATTTATCTATAATTATTTTTAGAAAAAAGAGAGAGAGAGAGAGAGGTAACAGCAAATTAAAAAATGTGTGTTTCTTTGTCTTTCTCTCTATCTGTCGGTCTCTCATCCCCTTTTCTCCTCTTTTTTTCTGAATTTTCAATCTGTCGTTTTTTTAATCCCTCAATTGTGCTCCGACTTCGAAGTCAGTTTGAGGATATTCTTTATTACCCTTTGATTTTTTTGATTTTTTTACTTAAGTCGTGTATAGATTTATCGAATGCTGATTGAATTGGGGTCAGTCAATCACCTCCTGCATTGGATAACATATGCTTATCCTTGGGAAAGATCACACTTTTATGTTTGGTATTGTTGATCAGGCATGTAGATTTCCCTATGGACAGTTCATAATGTGATTGTGTGGGCAACCATCTTTCTCAAAGGCGCACGTTGAGTCTGGCAGGATTCACCAGATTCTCATTTTGCTTGAAGAACACAGGCCATCCAGCCAAAGTGAGTCAAGTGGTGTATCCCACCAGAAGCGGCATGCATGCAACTGCATCGGAGAAAAATGGCTCGGAAACGCGCTGGTGGTTTTACGGCTGCACACACATACAAACACAAACACGCGCATACACACATACATACACACACATACACACACATACACAAAAATATATGTATATGTGCAAGTGTCTCGCTTCGGCGGCAGACGAGTGTGTGGCCACTTGGCGCTGAACCACACAAACGTGGCCACCAACTTTGCATTTCCCTATCCCTATCCCTATACTGCTGAAGGGACAGCGGTCCTCGCGTGGGGCCCAACAGAAACTGGGTGCCTCTGCGCGGGACTGATAATGGGCAGTGGCTAAGGGGGAACCGGTGGCAATCGGGGCGAGGGCCGGAGAAGTACTGGCGGGAACTGGCCACAGCCGCAATGAGTAGGGGAAAAAAAGGTCGTGGGGACAGCCGTGGCGAGTACAAGGGCCGAGGACCCCAAAAAAGGTTGTGGAACACGGGGCCGGAGAAATATCGTGAATTGTCTACCGGTGAGGCGACGGGCGGGGCGGCGTCCTTTCATGCGGGAGGGGGGGGAGAGAGAGAGAGAGAGAGAGAGAGAGAGAGAGAGAGAGAGAGAGAGAGAGAGAGAGAGAGAGAGAGAGAGAGTACTTC